CCCAAGTGTAACTCGGAATTTTACATCCAATATTCCGAGTTATAACACGGAATTTCAAAATTCCGAGATATAAGTCGGAATTTTGATGTAAAATTCCGAGTTATAACTCGGAATTTTAAAATTCCGAGTTATAACTCAGAATTTTGTAGAGTTTTTATTATTTTTATTTTATGTGTCCCTTCCAGGCCTTCGTAGTATTGTATCCATATCGCAAATACAATTAATCAAGAAGAATGGAATCAACGTTACCATGGCAACTCAGTCAATTTTTCGAAATAGGAATTAATAGGCCAGTAGCCACATCAACTGTCAATTTGTGTAATCATACATAATTCATTAGTGATTTCAAAATGAATTCTAGTGATGAAGAAAGTGTGAATTGTACTCCACCAGAAATTAGTGAGGCAGCTGAGGAAGCAAAATCGAGTTTATTGCCAAGTAAATCAAAAAAAAAATATACGACAAAGTATACGAAGAATTCATAAGCTGGTGCGACAAAAATGATGTAAAAAATTAGAACTACACTGAAAGTGTGCTTCTTGCCTATTTTCTGGAAAAATCAAGATCTCGTAAGCCCTCTTCCATGTGGTCATATTATTCCATGTTGAAAGCTACTTTAAATGTACATGATAATAGAGATATTAGTAAATATGCAAGATTGGTAGCTTTTTTGAAAAGACAATCTGACGGTTATAAACCAAAGAAATCGAAGATTCTAAGCAGAGAAGAAATAGAATTATTCTTGAGTGAAGCACCAGACGATTCGTACCTTATGATGAAAGTAAGTACTATTTTTCATGCTTTCTCAATGTCAATCTAGATTTCTATCGATATGACAGTGACATCAGCTTTACCACCAGCTCAATGACTTTATCGCCCGCCGGGCGGTAAAGTAGTCCGCGGGCGGTAAAGTGCCACTTTACACCCGCAAACCCGGGCGGTAAAGTGCTACTTTACGCCCGGTCGTGCATAAAAATAATTATGGCCTATTTGAAGCCAGCACACCTGAACAATAAGCATACTGACGACCGATATACCGAGATGTACATCTGTCCAAAAAAAACATAAAAACATACTAAAAAAAAATTGAACAAATTACCATTGCAATTGGAAACTCTAAAAACTAAAGCTTCAAAGACTAAGTTGGAAATAATTCTATTTGGCAGAGCCACCGAACATAAACAGAGACGTTTATGTTCGGTGGCAGAGCATACTATAATCTGTATAAGTTATTCTGTGACTACCTTGCTCAAACAACTTTTCTACATCATACTTCCACAATATTTCATAAATTAACTAACTTGCAAAGTCCTGTGGAATTAGTGTATATTTTTGTAATAACTGTAAAAATGTCACATTTTGAAGTGTCTGTTAACAATTTAATGTTTTCTAATGTAGCTCGAAAACCTTATACAGGGTGTCCCGAAATTACATAGAAAGATTTCAACCACAGATTTTAGAATCAAAAATAGTAAAAACTTCATATAAACATGGTCCAAAAATGGTCCCCTGGGAGCTTATAGCCACCTGAAGGAGAGCCCAAGATGATGGTTTTATGAAAATATTTCCGAACCTTTCTGTGATGAAAAAAACAAATTTTGTTCAGGGTGATTCACTATAAATGCCCATTGAACCGAGCGCAAAATTTAAGGGATCATTTGAAATGATTTTTCAATAAGTTTTTTCCGCTACATCAGAAAATACAATGTGCTCGGAACAAACGATCAACAGGATACTAGTTGATTTTTTGAAATGGGTCACCCTGTATTTCATTTCATTTTTGAATTCTCCCTGAAGAGCTTATTTCGTCAATGCTAGACCGGGAATAATTACGTTCAAAATCGAGATTTTTCAGCATTGTGTCCAAACTATTCATTATTGGTCAAAACGAGTCATACGTCCCTATCACAACTTTTGATTTACTATCTATCGACATCTAAACGGAACACTACAGGGTGGTTCAATGAATAGCTTCGACTGAAAAAAATCCTTGAGTTGAAAAATATCGATTTTGAACACATTATGATTACAGAGATAATCATTCACGCTAGGCTCCTTGTGTGATACATCGATGAGATCAGCTCTCCAGGGAGAATCTAGAAATGCAATGAAATACAGGAAGTATCATTCGAAAAAATCAACTATTACCCTATAGATCGTTTGTTCCGAGAACCCTGTATTTTCTGATGTAGCGGAAAAAAACTTTATCAAAAATTATTTTGAATGATGCCTCAAATTTTACTATTGATTGAAAAATAACTGAGCTAGATGGGGGGGATATTCATGGTGAATCACCCTGTACATGCTCCTAACTTTTCATGCCTAAGTTAAAAACTTTAAGAATTTTCCGAAACTTTGATCAAGGGCGTGGAAAATTGGTGGGGCTCGGGGTACTTTTTCCCTCAAATTCTTTATTTATGCAATTTTTGGCAGTTTGACCAGGAGATATAAAAATATCATCATTTTCACTCAAAAATGTCACTCTTGTGTAGTTTAGATAGTACCCGCCATTTTCGAGATAAACTAATTTTAAAAGTCTGTATCGTCATAAAAATAGTACCTTTTCCATACCATATTATTTTTCAATCCATCCTTTTCATTGCACCCCTCATATTTTTAATCAAACATCCAAAGTAGATCTTGAAAATAAGGGGTATTCTCCATAATTCTTAAGAAAATTTGGTACCCTATTAAAGAGAACATCACGATATTCATGGCGCAGCAGAATTTTCGAATCGATTGATCCCAAAAATGGTGAATGCTATCGAAACTGAACAAGGGTAACATCATTGAGTAGAATTGTTAAGGTTCTCATATTTGCTGGTCAAAGTGCCGAAAATTGCATAAACAAAAAAGTTGGGAGAAAAAGTGCACCTGGCCCAACCTATTTTCGACGCTCCTGAATAAAATTTCCAAACGTGGGGTCTTAAACCAAATATGATCTACTGGTCTTATCTCACGGTGGTCAGACCCATGGTCACATACGCTTCTCTAGTGTGGTGAACCAAAAGTAAGGAAAAAAACAGCACAACTCAAGCTGAAAAAATCCAGAGACTCGCGTGTCTTGGGATCACAGGGGCTATGCATACGTGCCCTACTGCAGCAATGAAAGCTATGCTTGACCTACTACCCTTGCATATTTTTATCAAGAGGACTGCAGCTCTCAGTGTCACTGGTCACATGGTCATTCTAAAAGAAGTACAAATGGAATCTGCAACCAAACCATCGGACATAATGCCAGCCAGGCTCAGTTTCGATTATACCTTTGAAGTGGTTATAAAAAGCCACCCTAGGTACGGTTCCGCTGAGCCTCAGCTGGACAGAGACAGAGGGTCCCTTGTTTGGTACACCGATGGTTCGAAAATGGAAGAAGGGGTAGGCGCGGGTGTATATGGACCCGGATGTAGGCTATTTGAAGCCTTAGGTCACTCCCCAACTATCTTCCAAGCTGAAATACATGCCATCAACCTTTGCGCCCAAAGGTGCCTGAGCAAAGGTCTGAGGGGTGCCAACATATATATCTGCTCAGACAGCCAAGCCGCACTAAAAGCCCTAAAATCATTCGTTTTCACATCAAAGATTACATGGGACTGCTTTGAAACACTCATTTAACTGGGAAAGGGCAACAAAGTCACACTTATGTGGGTTCCAGGGCATGAAGGAATCAAAGGAAATGAGGCAGCTGATCGCTTTGCAAAAAAAGGTGCAGCATCTGCACTTTTTGGTTCTGAGCCTTTTTGTGGGATAAGCAAATGTCACCTCAAGGGAGAACTCGGGAAATGGGAAGAAATTGAAAAGTCCTCCTACTGGAGAGCAACTCCAGGTCAACGACGAGTGAATAGGTTCATCAACCATTCGCAGAACCGAGCCAAAGAGCTACTCAGCCTCAGCAAACCAGAGCTAAAGCTTATCACAGGATTTCTCACAGGACACGGCCCTCTGAGGTACCACCTCAAAAAGATGGGTCTGGCGGAGACTGACACTTGCCGCTTTTGTAACAATGCGACCGAAACCGCGGAACACATACTTTGCTCATGTGAAGTATTAGTCCGCCAAAGGCTGAACCACCTAAAACAGGTCTATCTCACCCCTGCTTGAGTGGAAAAGTCAACCGTCAGGAAAATCGTAGGCTTCATCAGAAGTCTAGGGTTAGAGGACCAAAACTAGATAGGGGTAATCACAATAGATCTTCTATAGGTCGCAGTGATCGAGAGGTCTCTCAGTCTATACGACCCATCTACAATCTACAATAAAATTTCGGAAATTTCTTAACACTCTAGGAGGACATTTTTGAACCCATGTTTATGTAAACTTTTTTCACTATTTTTGTTTCTAGAGTCCGTGATTGAAATCTTTCTATGTAATTTCGGGACACCATGTAGGGTGCCATTGAAATAAGTGCAAATATTTCAAGCCTTGGGTAAGCTCGACGTATACTATCGAGTGGTACCAATTAAAAAAAAATATAGGGATCATGATAAAATTTGAGGTTAGACCCCTTCTTCCACCCAAAGTTCCACACTTGTGGCAATTTTGACATCACCTCTGTTCAAATTTTTGTGCGGAAGGCACGAGCAAGTGAATTTGAATCATTCAAATTGTTTTAAAGTGGCGTACCTAATTTTTTTCTCATTTTTTGGTCAATTTTCGGGATGAAATTTCTTGTTAATTAGAAGAATTAGGAAAAATCTGATATCATGGAAATAATCGTTAGACTGTATCATATAATGTGATTGTATGACATGCTCTATACCTTTCTTTAGGAGCTTGTTAGAGGTAAAAAAAATTATTTCTACGACTATAACACAAGATGTCATCAATTTTATTTCCGTATCTGATATCACAATGACTCCATTGTGTTATTATTTAAAAAAAAAAAAACATCGCCCATGGAATGTCAAATTATGGCTCATGCTGCAAACTTCATTCTCGTTGGAAATCACTATCATTCCGTGCTTATACTTCAATATACCATTATTGTTTGATTAATAAAATATTCATTGACAAAGAAGTCGACATTTATTATTTACATATAAATGAAAAAATATAATAAAGTACGAAATATGAATACAATATTTGAATAGAACTTACAAAATATACCTAACAATACAAAACACGTGAAGAATATGAAACATACCGGGTGATTTTCCAAGGTGGCTTACCAATATAACTTTTTTATTATTGAGGGTAGTGAAACGAAATTCTGGGGCTGTAAATGATAGTTCGATTGACATTATTTGACATATCTACTTGCTTCGCCGTACTTCCGGTTTGCCCAGAAATGACCTCAACATTCGATTTTTATAAGGCACACTCTGAATGTTATTCTATAATCGGTTTGGTATTATCATTACGAATTCAACGATACCGGGTTTGATAAGGTTATTTCAAACGATTACGAAGATAATTGAAAAATACTCGAAGTCATCTCCATGACATTCAATATGATCAACAGATTAAATTACTTGGGTACATGTTTCGGACATATATATGTCCATCCTCAGCCTCATCAAAAATGAATAGATACAAAAACTGGATTAATAAAAAGTGCTTACATGGGGATAAAAAAGGGATAAGTTACAAGTTTTTCATCTCCTTGTAAGCACTTTTTATCCATCCAGTATTTATTCACCTTCATCCTAGGACGTTATTGTAATTTTTCGATAAGGCTGAGGATGTACATATATATGTCCGAAACATGTACCCAAGTAATTTGATCTGTTGATCAAGTTAAATGTCGTGGAGATGACTTCGAGTATTATTTAGTAGTAGTACTTCAATTTGAGGAACTATGGACTTCTCCCAAAGATTACGAAGATATTTGCATATGACCAATGAGTGTGACGGCGAAATATCGAAACTTCTTTCTCTGTCACCCTCATTGAGCTTATGGAAACCTTGAATGCAAATGAATATCTTCGTAATCCTTCGAAATAACCGTATCAATTTCGGTACCGTTTAATTCGTTATGATAATCCCTAAGCGATTGTGTAATCGAATACAGGGTGGCCCAATCGAAAGTTCTGGTCATCTCCGGACAAACCGGAAGTGCGCCAAAGCAAGTAGATATGTCAAAAATTGTCAATTGAACTATAATTCACAGCCCCCGAATTTCGTTTTACTGCCTCCAATAAAAAAAAGTTATATGGGTGAGCCACCTTGGAATATCGCCCAGTATATACAATCACAAAATATATGTTCTAAATCGAAAAACAACACCTTTTTCTTTATTTTTTTCTTCTAAACTATCCAAATTTTGCAATTCTAGTATGAATAATATTAAATACGTTTGAAATCAACAGATCAATATAATACATATATTTGAAATAGAAGAATATCCAAAGCAGCAGAATATGCTGGTCTCAATAGTATAACAAAATTTTGCGAAATACAATTGCTCATAATCAATTCACATTTTTATAACTTCCTCACACTATTCCTTGATAATCAACTCAGTAGAATGTACAGTGTGTCTCCTTATATTTTGACCCCTACCTACAGCATATAGTCCAAATCAGTTTACACCCTGTATATTGGAATTGGAAAATTTTACAATAACCCATTAGGGAACTTTTTTGTTAAATGTATGTCTGTTCCTAATTCTGTTTGTACCATAATGATGTCTTTGATCTCGAATTTTTGGAGCTTTTTGTAAATACTTGACGAGTATAGCACTGATGATGGCTTCTTTGCCGAAAGCGCTTTGCGATTTGATAATAAATTTTACACGAAATACAAAATCTCCTCATTCTATTGATCAGTTACGTGTATGCAGCTAGTACAGATCTTTACCTGAAAAACTAACAAACAGAAGTAGGAAATCAGAAATAATAATATGTCGATGTTACAACATAATAAGAAAATCGTTGCATATAAAAAACTGACATATACTTCATCCGATAAAAATCTCTATCAAATATCAAAATATATACCTACTTCACAATTTCTGAATAATTGGTCTATCATGCATATATTTCACTATTTCTTCTTGTTTTGAAAGAATTGCAAAATCTAATACACTATGTCTTTGTTTATTCTGGATATTGACATCACATCGCTCCACTATTTACTAAGATTTCGAAACAATCCGAACGACCCCGATATGCTGCCCAATCGAGAGGGGTGTCACCTTTGTTATCCTGGATATTAACATCACATTTACTTTTAATTAAGATTTTCAAACAATATAAATGACCCTGATATGCTGCCCAATGCAAAGGAGTTTCACCTTCTTTATTCTGAATATTAACATCCCCTCCACTATTCACTAAGATGTTCAAACATTTGAAATGACCCTGACGTGCTGCCCAATGGAGAAGAGTGTCACCGTTGTTATACTGGATATTGACATTACCTCCACTTCCCACTAAGATTTCCAAACAATCCAAGTGACCCTGATATGCTGCCCAATGAAGAGGAGTATCACCTTTTTCATTCTGGATATTAACATCCCCTCCACTTCCCACTAGGATTTTCAAACAATTCAAGTGACCCTGATATGCTGCCCAATGAAGAGGAGTTTCACCTTTTTTATTCTGGATATTAACATCCCCTCCACTAATCACTAAGATGTTCAAACATTCGAAATGACCCTGACGTGCTGCCCAATGGAGAAGAGTGTCACCGTTGTTATACTGGATATTAACATTACCTCCACTTCCCACTAAGATTTCCAAACAATTCAAGTGACCCTGATATGCTGCCCAATGGAGAGGGGTGTGGCCGTAGTTATCCTGGATATTAACATCACCTCCACTTCCCACTAAGATTTGCAAACAATCCAAATGACCCTGATATGCTGCCCAATGAAGAAGAGTGTCACCGTTGTTATACTGGATATTAACATTACCTCCACTATCCACTAAGATTTTCAAACAATCCAAGTGACCCTGATATGCTGCCCAATGAAGAGGAGTTTCACCTTTTTCATTCTGGATATTAACATCCCCTCCACTATTCACTAAGATGTTCGAACATTCGAAATGACCCTGACATGCTGCCCAATGGAGAAGAGTGTCACCGTTGTTATACTGGATATTAACATTACCTCCACTTCCCACTAAGATTTTCAAACATTTCAAGTGACCCTGATATGCTGCCCAATGGAGAGCGGTGTGGCCGTAGTTATCCTGGATATTAACATCACCTTCACTTCTAATTAAGATTTTCAAACAATCTGAATGACCCTGACCTGCTGCCCTATGGAGAGGAATAGTACCGTCGTTATCCCGGATTTCAACATCTCCTCCACTATTCACTAAGATTTTTAAACAATATAAATGACCCTTATATGCTGCCCAATGGAGAGGAGTGGCACCTTCGTAATCCTTAATATTAACATCACCTCCACTATCCACTAAGATTCTCAAACAATCTAAATGACATTGATATGCTGCCCAATGTAGAGGAGTGCCACCTTTGTTATCCTGGATATTAACATCACCTCCACTTTCCACTAAGATTTTCAAATAATCCAAATGACCCTGATATGCTGCCCAATGGAGGAGAGTGTCACCGTTTTTATACTTGATATTAACATCACCTCCACTATCCACTAAGATTTTCAAACAATCCAAATGACCCTGATATGCTGCCCAATGGAGAGCAGTGTCACCGTTGTTATACTGGATATTAACATCACCTCCACTATCCACTAAAATTTTCAAAAAATCCAAATTACCCTGATATGCTGCCCAATAAAGAGGAGTGTAACCGTTGTTATCCTGGATATTAACATCACCTCCACTACCCACTAAGATTTTCAAACAATCTAAATTACCCCCATATGCTGCCCATTGTAGAGGAGTGTCACCTTTGTTATCCTGGATATTAACATCACCTCCACTACCCACTAAGATTTTCAAACAATCTAAATGACCCTCATATGCTGCCCAATGGAGAGGAGTGTCACCTTTGTTATCTTGGATATTAACATCACCTTTACTTCCAATTAAGATTTTCAAACATTCCGAATGACCCTGACGTGCTGCCCAATGGAGAAGAGTGCCGCCATTGTTATCCTGGATATTAACATCACCTCCACTATCCACTAAGATTTTCAAACAATCCAAATGACCCTGATATGCTGCCCAATGGAGAGGAGTGTCACCTTCGTTATCCTGAATGTTAACATCACCTCCACTATCCACTAAGATTTTCAAACAATCCAAATGACCTTTTTCTGCAGCAGAATGGAGAGGAGTTTTACAATCGTTCTCCTGAATATCAATATCAACTCCACTGGGTGTATGACCCCGATCTTTTTCCAACAAATGATTCAGTATGTTGACATTTCCCACGTATTCTGCGAAGTGCAGAGCAGTCACTTTATTACAATTATTCTCGTGGTTATTGACATCCCTTCTCGTCAGTTCTTCGACCATTTCAAAATCTTGATTTTTCACAGCACGGTGTAGAGGAGTTTCTTTTCCAGCTTTCGTATTCACATCAGCACCATTTTCGATAAAAAAGGAGAGCATCTCTGAGGAATTCACATGCACACTTAAGTGGAATGGGGTGTAACCTTTTCTGTCTACAACATGGATTGTGGCCCCTCTACTGACAAGATATTTTACTAATTCTATTTTGCGCCCTTCGGCTGCATAATGTAGGATTGTACGACCATGTTTATCTCTCCCGTTCACATCTGCTCCCTTGTCCAATAAAAACTCTATTATTTCTTGAAATTCAAGGGCTTTTCCTAATAAAGTTTTACCTTCAAATAAACGATCATGGTTATGAAGAACAGATTCATTATTTTGACTCTTCTCTAGTATTAGTTTCACGATATTTTTGCGGCCTTCTCTTACTAAAATGCTTATATTTTTGAATTCATGCCAAGTTATAGAGTCAAATGTAGAACCGCAAATTTCAAAAACTTTCATTGGGATTTGGGAGTATTCGTTGGTGAGGATGCCTTCAAAAAAAGATCTGATTATTTCAAAATTCCAATCAGTGAACACTTGTTCCAAAAGGAACATCAGAAATTCATTGCGTTCTGCAGTTTCTTTCAATTGTACCCATATTGCGTTTGCCAAAAAATATTCAGCGAATGTTTCATGAACGAACAATAGCTCGTCTCCAATTTCTTGTAACATTCCCATTCCGATGATAATTTCCTTGGAGCTATTGTAAACATGTTTCGAAACATTCATCAATGCATATTGGTGATTATTAAGTAATAGTCGAGCAGCAAGTTTTTGGTGCTCATTTATATAATCTTCATACTTTTTCGAAATTATCTCCTTTGTTTTTACATTTCCTCCAGTTGCGCATTTTTCTTCGATGAAAATTTCCAGTTTTTTCTCCACAAACACATCGTACAATTTAGTTATGTTAAACTTATCTGGTAATTTCATGGTCTCATTTTCAGATAGTAAAAACTCTTTACAACACACCCACTGGTATTTCTTGTCATCAGAGCCCTGAAATATTTCCGCAATCATTCTGGTCTGAAGTGGAATACCTATGAGAATCCAAGAGGTGAATCCTATCGAACCTCTTATTTTGCTTATCAATGTTTTTGCATAAATCTCACATTTAATTAGCTTTTCATCATCATTTATTGTGAGATTCCTCTTCCAGTATTTTATAAGAAAATCAGTTTGTTCTAATTCTGAGTATGGAAGTAATTGATATGATTTGGTTTTAAGGAAGGATTCCAAATTCTCCGTTAAATGAGGACGAGTTGTAACAAATATTTTAGAAACATTTTTACGTACAGACGTTTGAAGCATAAAATTGTTAACTAGACTAGTGTAGTCCGGACTTATTTCATCTACAGCATCGACCATCAGGATGATGTTTTTTGTATTTGAGAAAACATTCTGTTCTAAACTATTTTTGAAATAATTCGTATCTTTCGACTGTAGTATCTCTTCTAAACTGATTTTATCCGCTGTTTGAAATTCTTTGAATATGCTGGTAAACATATTCAGATCGACTCTTATGAGGAAAGAACTGGGATATGTTTTCTTAATCAAACACCCAAGCTTAGTTAGGATTGTAGTTTTTCCCATTCCTGCTCCATCCGAAATCAGAACGAATTTTCCAGGTTGACCAAGGAAATTGCACACATCTTGTTCCGTGAACACCATTTTTCCGAGTTCAAATTTTCTCTCTATGTAATAATGCTCAATTTCACCCAATTCTCTAATGGCTGTACCTATTGTGATATTTTTATTATTTATCAAGTCAATAATAGTTTCTTGGTCTATTAAAGAATCAATATTTTCCACTGAATTATTGATGAGCTCTTCAATAGGCAGACATTTTCCTTGAAAATTAACTTCTTTTGACAAAAGGGTAGTTTGGCATCTTTCTGTTAGATCAGTAAATTTTATTTCATCCTGAATTACATCATCTTGGATTGGGACTTCTGACAAAAGTATGACTTTCTTATATTGTCGTTTATTCAATATATCATTAATACGGGATTTAATTGTACGAAATTGATCAGAGTTGAGGGAAATGACAAGTATGCAGTATACATCAAGCTCAAACGATATTATTATTTTGTCCAAAATTACACTTCTATCACTTGGATCGATGAACAGAAGTTGATCTTTTTTGTAATGTTGGTTGTTTCTGCTGGGGCTATGAACTCTCAGTAAGCTTCTATGGATCTTGAGTATATTTAAGAAATGATGATTTGATACAATATTGGTCATTTGATTTCCACCAAAGTCATATAATTTTTTGAAGTCTGTATCAAAAGAATCTAGTTCTTCTAGGTAACCCTGACGTCGCGAGTCGTATAAAAAAGCTATAACGTGCGACTTTCTGATACGTCTTTCTTTTTGCAGTTTTCCCTGAAAGAATTCGTCTATTTTTTCTTTAAAATCGAGTTTAGAAAATTTCAAACCAAACATTTTCTGTGCTTCTTCTAGTTTGTTTTTAATACCGTCTTCTATTGCTGAATCGTCGATATGAAGAAACCTAAATTCCTCACAAAATTTCAGTGAATGATCATCAAATGCATTCAATATTCCTTGAATCTCTTTTATTTTTGAGCTTTTGAATTGATAAGATTTGTACTTTCCTGGAATTATAGCAATCTTTATGGGTTCTAGGAAATCACCATCCGAAGGACCAATATTTGAGCATAATATCATCAATAGCTTCCGTTTGAATGAGTTACAGATTTTCATCTTATAGGAGTTGTAATATTCCGGAAGAAGGGTTTTCCAATCGAGTACTGGATCCTTTGATTTTTTTTTGCCTTTTTTATGTTTGCATTGTATCAAAATATCAATTCCACCATCTCCACTTTCGAAAACAACATCATCAAATTTCCCTGCATTCTCATTCTCTGTTGATAATTCCCATGTTTCATGTTGTAATGAAATGGCCTGTAGAGCGATCAGTCTAAAAACCTTCAGCTGGTAGTCCGTTCCACTGCGTCCTGCGTCGTTATTGGCCATTTTTGTTGTTTTTCTGAAAAAGGTCTTGTATATTAGGTACTTACAAACCAACCCCTTCCCTGGACTTTCATAATCCTAGAGCGATTTGGAAAATGGTCTTCTTTTAAAACATTCTACTCAAAATTATCTACTATTTCAAGCCGAAAAAAATCGTCAATCACAATTTTTTTCCCTATTGCGACCACAAAAACTGCAGCAAAATTGAAAAAAACAGATTATTAATTTTTTACAATAATTTTGATAATGGCAATCGCTTCGGACTAATCACAAATACTCCTGTATCAATTTTCGAAACAATATATCATAAGGGGGGTTTTTTATCAACATTACAATTTTTGAATAATTGTATTTTTCAAGTCACCGTGTATAATAATTCTTATAAGAATTCGAATGCTATCAGACATAATTGTATTCAGGTAGATCATCTGACTATAGAGTGAGATGAATAACGAATTAAATCACTAGAAATTCAGATTTTTTATCAATATACATACATATAACAAGTTAATTTTTGCATCTTATCAATTTTTCACCACTTGCTCCACTAATTTTCAATGTTCTCTTACTCAGGTTGCAATATATTCGGATTTTAAAATGATTACACTATACCGAGGGCAATACGAGCTGTCAAAGTTTTTTGAGAAAAGCGAAGCGTAATTCATTTCCACAGCTTTCAAACGATTTCCAATTTCTTGGATTCATCAGAATTGAACATTTGCAGAAAACATTTCTCCTTGTCATTAGTTTTTTGCGAGTTTATTGCGGCTAAACACTTCACAACCAATGATCATAATCACCCTCATTTTAAACTAGGAGAAAGCCAAACACTCAAAGTGGAATGCAATGGTTACAAATAGAAAGAATCTCAAAGTCATTACCACAATCTTTCATAAAATGAACGAAATTGGTAGATATAATGAGAGAAAAACAACCACTTTCCTGGCTTTATGCCACGCCGAACATTGGATTACATCCTCCCGAAATCTATGCAACAATTCGAGAGGAACAAATGCTGAGATGCGTTTACGTTGGGTCAGGTTCGCACCAGATAGCGGTCAAGAAGCTATCTGGGACAGCCCTGTACTGATGAGAGCCAAGAGCTCGAAACCGGTCTGCAGGTAGTCAGCGTTCCTGAACCACTTAAGCGCAGCTCAGCGTTTAGGAAGGAAACACTTGCGATTTTGTTCGTCTATACAAATTACTGCATAGATTTTGGGATGATGTAATCCAAAGTTGTGCGTGGCATATTGCCAGGAAAGTAGTTGTTTTTCTCTCGTTATCTACCAATTTCTAGACTGACAGCTGGTCGGTCTGGGGGACTTATGTGGGGGCGAGCGGGGAAAGTTGCAGAGTTTCAAAGGTAATTGACGTCATTATAGTACAGTCATGAAATTCCGTGTACATATAGTATGTGACGTCAGAAAGATAGTTTGATAATTGGCAGACCGTTTTCTCGAGGGCTAAAGTGCCGGCAGACCGCGTCACAGTTGCGAAAAAATCGAAAAATCAACGTGATAAGATGAAGTCTCGAAATTAGGTGTACATATTGATTATATATCAACTTGTTTCCATGCTGAATGGCAGACCAAGAAGTGGAGAAAGGGTGGAGAAATTTTAATGACCAAAACTGAGAAATAGATAGAATCCGCGATGAAATAATAGTATATCTTCCTATGAACATATGCTCTAGAACGGTTCGTTATTGAGATATTAGGCGTTGAAATATACATATATACAGGGTGTCCCACTCGAAGACAAATGAAGGCAGACTCGCGTCTTAGTGTTTCACATCATAAATGGAACCATTCCAGAAAAAAAATGTGACTGTACCGAGTCACGTTGGAACTCATATGGCCAGCTCTTAGACTATTCGTTTATTTTATGAATCATTGTATTAATGACGGCTCTGTAGCAGAATAGCGTCAGTCGAAATAGCGCTGGACAAAATAGCGCTACGAAATAGCGCTAGGTTAAAATAGCGTTAGTCAAAATAGCGCTGGACAAAATAGCGCCGCACAAAAATAACGCAGAACAAAAACAGCGGCGGACAAAATGGCGTCGGTTCAAATAGCACTGCGACTAAATAACGCCGGGTAAAATATTCTTAGAAAATCAACTATTGGAATAGGACGTGATTGAAAAATCAAGTTTTCGAATATATATACACTGCTGATTGCTTTTGTTGTGCTATAGTTCCGAAAAATGTGTCAATAATACCGTCTCCGAGAAAGCACTGCAAGTCCTTTTATCTTCCATTCGACTTCGCGGTTATGTATATTACTAAACAACCACTGAATTCGCAATTTTTTGAAATCAAATTACAGAATTAGACTTACAGAAGTGATATCAGATATTTGATTACTTCAAATGAATGATAAAGATGCCTACAAAGCGGTGTTCCTACTGTTAAAAACTTAAAATTTCACGTCGATAATTTTCAGATTTAAAAATAATGTGATGAGTTCTCAATATTGATTCGTCCTTCCTTCTGTCACAGAAAAAAATAGTGTATTATACACGGGAAAAATATTAGATTTTAGCTCACGGTTTGTTGTCTCCCTCCGCTACGCGTCGGAAGACAACACAACCTGGAGCTAAAATCTACTACTTTTTTCCTTTGTATAATAAATAACTATTTATTTCTTGATGAAGAATCAAAATGTCTATTGATTATATTCGTTATTCATCTAACTCTGTAGCCAGATGATCTACCTGACTACAATCATTTCAATTATAAGAATTATCATAACGGTGACTTGAGGAATACAATTATTCAAAAATTGTAACGTTGATAAGAAACCCTCCTTATGGTATATTGTTTTGAAAATTGCTATAGGAGTATTCGTTACTAGTCCGATCCGATTGCCATGATCTAAAATTATTGTAACAAAATACCTAATCTATTTTCTTCAATTTCGCTGTAGTTATTGTGATTGATCTTTTTTTTGCTCGATAAAGAAGATAATTTTGGATATATTATAAAAAAAAATCAAATCGATCTAGGATTACTGGAGTACAGGGATTTGGTGGACCAAATTGTAACACACTGTTTACTCAGACTATATAACAATTCGCGAAAATCACAAAGTGTGTGGCCTCTGGTGTCGAACTTTCGAACCTTCCCGAAGGTAATCAATAAACCAATTTAGCAATGTCTATAATTTTTCAAGCAGATTTCGATGCCTTTTCGATAGTTTTCGGAATCATCTTGTGCCTATAAATAAACTTAGTTATTGTTTTAAAATAACATCTATCAAATGAACAATCTAGTGAGAGTTGAATCAAGGAAGTAGTTTTCAGTTTTTGGTACTCTTCCTGGAGTACAGTTTTCCTTTCATTAAACAAATCACCTTCTGGAGATATAAAATTGTCTGAAAAACTCATATGGCAGTATAGTTTATCCGAAAACAATTGCAGAATCTTGTGCCGCACCTGCAGTCACATCAAAGGAAAGTTCAAATACGCCGACGCCGCACAGTGTGAGATATTCTGCAATTGATATTGGATATACTATAGCAACATGCACTATCCCAATGGACATCTATACGTCGAAAAAAACGTTGAGAAAAGGTTTAGTAAGAACTCGTCGCATATTTGTGAAAACGTAGCAGGAAGGAACGTTTTTCTCAATCAAAAGTTTTGATAAAAACGAAAAATACGTATTTCCAATATAATGATCAATGAGTTGTTAGGTAATCACGTCGAATTTGTGGAATCAAACGTCTGCATTAGTTTTCTGAAAACTTGATTTGAGTTCAGGACCATCAATAGGTAAACCACAAATAACTGGAGAAAGCATGAGCACTTCAGTGAAGATTCTAAAACCATAACAGGACTCCTATATACAAGGTGTTATTTAAGTATGTAGCCAAACTTCAAGGGGTGATTATTTGGGTGATTCTAAGACGAAAAGTTCATGTAAACATAGGTCCAGAAATCATTCGTTCTCATGATACAGGGTATCAAAGTTTCGATATAAAATCGTTTTTTTATCAATTACTCAAAATTCTGTTGTTCAATTTTAATGAAACTTGATGTTTTTGTTAACAGTATCAAGAAGATTCTTTTGGTGTAATTACATTCGAAATAATAATTCCAGTGGCGTCGCTTTTCGATTTTTATGGTAAATAAGGCACCTACGCCAAAGTTTTTTCCAAGTTCGATATTTTTATCAGATTAAACAATCGAAAATACAAATTTTTTGTCCTCTATTAAATTTTTGTATATCACTCAGTTTCTGAGGAAATAATGAAAAAATTATTTGTCCCCAAATTCGAATATAGGTGCCCTCAAATCACCTATCGGAATCACCCAATAACCTCAATGAGGATTATTCTGAAATTTCGAGACTTTTCTAGTCACCAATCAGACTAAATGTTGAAATGAAAGCCTATACAGGGTAATCATGGAAAACAACAATAATCATTACTTCCAACTTCAACACCCTATATCTTGAAAACAAAACATTTTAGGACCTATGTTTATATCAACTTTTCGTCTCTGTATCACTCAAATAATCGCCCCTTGAAGTTTGGCCACACACTTAAATAACACCCTGTATAGATATCTGCTCAGGAACCGAACATGTTCATGAAGGAACACTGAATTGAAATTATGATCTAGAATTCCTCGACTACACTTGAGAAGACCCTTGAGATGTGTGCAAAAAAGATTCGAATCATCACATAAAAACCCAAATAGGACAGCAGGAATGGTTTGTGGGTAAGTTATTGAAAGGAGAAAGAAGGTGGGATTCATTTTTATCAAAAATGTGGCTACTTGTCTATTTATTTTGATGCTTGAGTGGTGTGCGAAAAATATTAGTGCGACGATTCCAAGTTATTACTTGAAAACTCAAAAAGAATTGTTTGTACCGACATTCAAAAACCTTACACAGTATATCTACTTTATTGAATAGTATTAGAAAAGAGTAAGTAAGGTGATAAGATATGAATAATATGTCAATACTTGAATAACTCGAGTGCATAGATAAAAAGCATTCAGAAAACAATA